TCCTTCGCTCCTCTCTTTGCCCCTTGTTGTCCCCCCTTTGTTCCCTGTTTTCCTTCCCCTTCTCTCTCCTTTGGTTTCCCTTCTTCTTCTCTTCCACTCCCTTTTTGTTGTAGGTCTCTGGCAGTTCGGGCATCTTGTATCTGTCCTCTCTCCATTCTACTTTTGTTCCTTGACCCTCGTTCCCTTCTCCTCTTCCTTGTACCTTTGCCCGGTCCCTCTTGATTCGACAGTATTGTTGGGCATAGTATTCCGACATTTCTTCTTCTTCCTTGAGTGGTCTTATGGGTTTGCTGTGAGTAGCAGCGTGGCGAGAGGGACCGTGGGAACAACGGCGTGGCGAAAGGTTCGGTGGAGAGCAGCGTGGTTAAAGGATCGATAAGGATCAGCGTGTCTTCCTTTCCTCTTTTCACGGAGGGTATTCCTGATTATCACTATCAACGGAAATATTGCACCAGATAAGATTTAGACATTCCTAGTTTGATAGAGATTGAACAATAATTGTGATGGAATTGTTAGTTCTAAATAATTATTGTGATTTAATAATAAGAATATTTAATGTATAATAATATTAATAGTAAGGATATTAAATGTATTGGAATCGTTTCGATTCTCAGGTGAGGTCATGGGATTGTGTCAGGCGGAACGTTGAGGGGGGGTGGTCGTGGGTGCGGGAGTGGTAGCGTGGTTGGGTCGCCTGGTGGTGATGTGGTTGGCTTGTTCGGCGTGGGTGAAGTGTGTGTGTGTGAGGTGGGGGGGGGGGAGTTGGTTCGTCGGGGGAGGGGTGATGTTACGAGGGGAGTGTCGCCGAGAGAGTTGGTTGGGGGATGGGAGGAATGGTGGGTGATGAAGTGTGAGAAACATTGTAGGATACGGGAATTTGGAGTGGGGTTTGAGGGTTTGAAAAGTGATTGGGAGGTTGTATTGGGGAGTGGTGTCAACACTAGGATGCTATTTCCTACGATCTATTACTAATTTCAAGGAAGAGCTCTCCGCTTTAGGTTCGCTTGTCGCTGCCCGGTGTGTAGAGAAGACGATTCTTGCGTGGCGCTGTAGGTCTTTTGTTGTAGCATCTTTCGTCTCTGTGACTACGGAGGTCGTTTGTCTTCTTTGCCACCCTCCTTGCTGCTAGCAGGTTCAGAATGGGAACGATCTTACCTCATTATTCCCTCTCTTCCTGTCACTTGCCCTGTCGCTGGTCTCTCCTTGTTGGCGAGTCCTTGCTGCGAAATTCCCCACTCCGGTCTTTTCTGTCTTTTCCTCTTCTTATCCTCCCCTACCTCACTGCCCTTCTACTTTCCTCATCATTTTCTACCTCCGGCTCATTCCACGCCCATGTTGATTCGCCTTTTCTCCCGCTTGTCTTTTCTCTCCCTTTCTTTGTTGTTTCGCTCCTCCTCCTTGTAGCCACGCCCTCGTGCGTGGCTGGGCCTAGTTCCTGTCGTTAACCTTGCTCAAATCTGCGTTCGACACTCGATTTTTGAACTTGGAGAAGGCTATCAGGATTTTCTCCAGTTTTCTTGTTCCACCCACGCATTCTTCTCAGAGAGGAACCTGAATCCGGGTAAGATGTCGGTCAGGTTCAGTCGATTTGAGAGAATTTGCGTTCGTCCTGTTCCAAATGCTGGCACATACCGATCGCTTGCGTCCGGGGTAGGCGCTTTGAAGCTTCTCCACTTCCCGACAGGGCTGTGGAGTGCTCTGTCCTCTTCGGGAGAGGAAGCGCGTCGGCGTTGCCCGTCTCTCTCCTGCCCGTTCTGTTTTTTCCTCACTGGGGATTACCCTCTCTTGTCTCCCCTTACCCCTCYTCCTCCTTTTCTTTTCCTGTTGCTCGTCTTGCTCTCAATTGCGTTTTGTCCTTTCTCGTTCTTGTCAACCCTTGAGTTCGCCTTCCCTCGGAGTAGTTTGTCCTGACTTCCGCTCGCTTCTTACGTGATGATTGCCGTGCTATTGTGGCTATGGTGCCTGTTTTGCCACGCCCGAAGGCGTGGCGCCCTCCCGTGATTCGCGCCCAGATTCAAACCAGGTGCTTCCTCGAAAATCCGCACGATTGGCGCGAAAAGGGCTCTCGTCGGACCAGCCCGGCTTGGCGGGTGGTGGGACGCGATAGAGCGCAGAATTAGCGCTAACCTTCGGCGCTCGCGAAAAACCATTTCCCTGTTTTCATTTTTGATTTTCTGTATTTTACTATTTTCTGCATTTTCGGTTATAATTCTGTTTGCGGCTTGGCTCAGAATTTTGCTTTCATTTCATCCGGATCTTTCTGACTCAGTAGCCCAGGAGGCGTAGCACGTAGTTTCCGGTACCCTTTGACTAACTGTTGTCAGCTGGAGGTAGGGAGTCGAGTTTTGAGGATAGATACGTGCATTTTTGTAGCTGCCACTAGTAGGTACTGAGGCATGAGATTTTGCAGGATACAGCGCAATGTATCGTGTCGGTTTCGGCTACTAGATAGTGTCGGAGTGATTAGCAGGGACGCAAGGGACTTGATAGACTAGCTATGAGTGTTGCCCGGTGGATCACAAGGATACTAATTTTGACTTTTTGGTGACTGCTCGTGCGACCGTCGCGGTCTTCTTGGATCGCGGGCATCTGCTAGCCGTTGTGAGTCGTGAGTTGTTGCTTGTGATCGGTGAGGTAACAGGGGACGGTATATGTGATGGGAAGCAAGGCGCTTGGCTTCCTTCTTCCAGCACACGGACTCGCGAGAGTCCACCCTCCTGAGGAGATCCACATGTGGCGGGGGAAACCGGTCGAGGGGCTCCGCGGTTGCTCTTTGCAGTTTATAATCAAAGTATGCAGTCGATTTTGAACTCGTGGGCTTGCTCGTGTTTTCATGCGCCTGTGTCTGCTCGTCTATGGCTGCGCAAGCTGTATGCTGCAGCTTGCCTACTACTCCTCCCCTTGCTCGTGTTTTCATGCGCCTGTGTCTGCTTGTCTATGGCTGCGCAAGCTGTATGCTGCAGCTTGCCTACTACTCCTCCCCCCTCATCCCCCTTGTGGTCATCCACCTCCCCGTCCACCTACTCATCCACCTTCACCTCCATCTCGTCTTCAACCTCCTATGGCCCCTCTTCCGTCATCGCCCTCTCCACCTGCGATGCGGCCAAAATGAAACGGGCATCAGCGTTGTCCACAGCATGTCCTATTCGCCATGCTGCCTGTCCCACTCCCTGCTGGGAAAATGAAATCAGCGGTGCAGCGGTGCATGACCCACCCACAAAAAAAAGGCAACCCACCCCGCATGGAAAAACAAAAGGAAAACATGGTCCGACCCAGCACATGAAAAAGAAAACCACTCACTGAACTAGCTCATTCGGTACACGCATGAACTGTTAAATACAGAACTGCATTCGGATTCCATAAACCAGATGAACGAAAATAGCTCTGAATTTACCTGGGGCCAGTCAGCTCAAACTTCCAAGATGATATCTCAAGGCTAAACAAAAGAAAAGGAAAAAGGAGGGGGGGGGGGAAGAAAGGAAAAGAAAACCAGGGCACCTTTCGCGACGTCCCCCCCCCAAAAAAACATCGCTGCCATGATGCCTGGTGGGCCCAGGCCTGTCCCACCACCGCTGCTTCACGGGTCTCGTGGGACAGTTACGCAATACCCGCTCTTTGCTTTAAGGAGTTAGGAATGTCCCTGTCTGTGCTACTTTTGTCCATCCCTCCCTCTACTTACCAATTTCTGTCTTGTTGTTCTGTTTAACCGGTTTTGTGGATATGTCCCTGCTGAGACAAAGTTCAAAAACACAGCTGAGAAGCTTGTACTTTGGCATACCGATGGACCGATAACTTCAGAAAAAGACACACATTCATATCATGGGCAACCCATTACAGAACAGAAATGGAGATGTCCGCAAGAACTCAGCAAAAGGCAGTGATTTCAGAGCTCTCAGACTGCAAACCGCAATTGTAACAGAGAGGCCATGCAGAGCAGAGACAGACCTGACTTTCGCATGCACTACCTGAGGCCATGCAGAGCAGAGACAGACCTGACTTTCGCATGCACTACCTGGAGTTGCAGGGTTGGAGAAATATGAGAATGAGAAACAGGGAGGAGAAGAACTGAGAAGGACTGAACCAAAGAGGATACAACATGCAAGGACTCGCAACATACAGCACCATTTTAAAACGAGAACAAAAATAGAATGAATGATTGTAAGTATGGCCTTCGCCATAACATCTTATATTACCAGTGCCCTGGCAAGCGCATTCGCAAAAAAAAAAAAAAAAGGAATAAATGAGCAGTGTCCCTCATGACATCCTTTAAACTCGAAACTGTACAGAGAAGATTCGGATGGCCCCTGCCTAAGGCTGACAGTCATAAGGCCTAGCTCAGTGGTACACCACTGAACTGTTGAAATACAGACTGGAGCTTGAATCCAGACCGAACTCGATAAATGAAATTCTTGAATGAATGATATCTCAATGCCGTCGCCTTCTTAATAAATATAATGAAAAGGAAAAAGAAAGAAAGAAAGAAAGAATGAACAGTCCTGCTGACAATCCGCATAAGTACGGATGCTGTGTATGGGTCCAGCCTGAAGGGATATGAGCTGGGGGGGGGAAAAAAAAAGAAAAAGAAGATGTGAGCTCAACAAGTCGTGCCAAAGAGATCGAAAACTGAAAAGGAACTTGGGCACCAAAATTTCGAAGGGACAAATCTGAAAAGCACCAGGGTACCAAAGCTCTGCAAGGGAAGGTTCGCGTTAATGAGAAAATGATTTGGCACATCACAGCAATAGCTATCGCACTCCTTGCAAATGTCATCTCACAAACTCGGTCTGCAACTGAGAAATAAAGCTGAAAGCTCAGCAGGTTCATGTGTGTTTTTTTCTGTTGCTAACGGTGGAAATCAATGTATTCCTCTCCGGCAGTAGTCAGCGGATGCTTGCTTGCCCATCGCTGCTGGAGCAGTCGGAGAACCATATTCAGAAAGTTCGTTACCTCTAACAAAGTCGCTTTGGTTGTTGCACTTCCATAATTGATTGTGAAAAAAGGATACGGGAAGTCACGTGATGACGAACCTCGGCATCCCAGTGGGAGATTGGCAGCAGTCCAAGCAGAGCACAAGCAAAAAGAAGAAACACAAGCAAAGAGGATCCAGGAATTGGAAACCGAGATAAGTAATCTGACCAGTGAGCGGTTAGCACTGCAAAAGAGGCTTGAGGAATCGAAAGTGCATGTGGTGAGAGTCAAGGAATTAGAGACTGCGGTACACGATTTGGAAGTGAGACTTGGGGTGTGCAGATCAGATCATGAACAAAAAGAAGGAATACAAACAAAGAGGATCGTGGAGTTGGAAACTGAGGTATGCAATCTGACCAGCGAGCGATTAGCACTAACAAAGACGCTTGAGGAATCGAAAGCTCATGCGATGAGAGTCAAGCAATTAGATACTGAGGTACACAATCTGGAAGTGAGACTCGGGTTGTGCAGATCAGAGCACGAACAAAAAGCAGGAATACAAGCAAAGAGGATCAAGCAACTGGAGACTGAGATAAGCAAACTGACCATCGAGAGGTTAGCAGTGCAAGAGCGTCTTGATGAATCCAATGCCAAGGTTCGGGAGTTGGAATCTATCTTGGAGAGGAAGGTTGGCAAGCAGGAAGCATCAGAGAGAGCTCATGGAATGTCAATAAGCAGCCCGAGAGCAGAAATTCACCGTTCATTCCGTGAATATTCCTCGAGAGAAGTTAAGGCTGCAACAGACAACTTTGGTGACAACTCTAAGCTTGAAGAACGACAACATGGAGATCTTTACGTAGGCAAGATGACGACTGTTACAGTGAAGAGACTAAGGGCTGACAGGACAATAGGTGGTCAACAGTTCAAACTGACGAAGGAGGTAGTGGACAGGTTGAAATCCCTTCAGCACCCACATTTGCAGACTCTCCTCGGAGTGTGTTACGAAGAGAACTGCTTGGTGTATGAACATATGGCCAAAGGTAATGTCAAAGACTGGATGTCATGTGGAGAAGGTCAACCAAGGAAGTTCCTCCCATGGTATACACGCTTGAGGATCGTGGTGGAGGTTGCCCGGGCTCTGTCCTTTCTTCACTCCAATCACTCCATGGGAGGTGGTCCCATCATCCACCGCGCCATCAAGCCAGAAAACATTTCTCTGGATGACAACTTTGGGGCTAAACTCAGTGATGTTGATGTCGCCTTGCTTTCCCCAGACCTCCCTAAGAGAAAGCAAGCATTGCCAAGGGAAATGAGGGCATCCCTTGGGAGTACTTTTCACTACATAGCTCCAGAATACTTCCGCACTGGCATCTTCAATGAGAACACTGACATCTACTCATTTGGTATCACCATCCTAGAGATGCTCTCCGGTAACTTTGAGGATGCATTCGATTTGGGAATTATAGAAGAGGCAGTGGAAAATGCTACGGAGTTCAGCAATGTTCTGGACCCAAACGCAGGGAGTTGGGACATTTATCTCGCACTTGAAGCAGCACGCTTGGGACTACTTTGTGCAAGTTTAGAACGACACGAACGACCGAGCATGATGACTGGTGAACGGGCCATTCTACCATTACTGGAGGAAATTGCTTCCAAAGTGGAACTCGCCACCTCAGTGGAGTTATAGAAAATGCTTGGTGAGTGAGTCTCATGTCATCCAGTCATTGGCAGGAGGGCAATCAAAGGCAGCATTAGTGCTCTCTCTCTCTCTCTCTCTCTCTCTCTCTCTCTCTCTCTCTCTCTCTCTCTCTCTCTCTCTCTCTCTCTCTCTCTCTCTCTCTCTCTC